AGAGAGAGAAAGAGAGAGAGAGAGAGAGAGAGAGAGAGAGAGAGAGAGAGAGAGAGAGAGAGAGAGAGAGAGAGAGAGAGATACAGCGTCATTATTTAATCAAGGCGTCAGGTCAGCAACTCTCCAAACATTTTTCCACGTTGTTTCAAAGTCGGAGTAGAAATTTCTAAAGCATAATATATATTTTTTTTATCATCCTTGTTATATATAATATTTCAGACACAAATATTTAGAACTTTGCCATTGATCGCCTAAAAAAATCAATAACAAAGAGGACTCGATTCCTTTAGTATACAGAAAAAAAAAATGGTATTCAAAAAGATCTCTGATTCAACAGCAAAAGTTTATTTACACTTTATACAAAAAAAAGACTAAGATCAAACAGAATAATAGTGGTTCACAAATAACAAAAGCCATGATAAAATGGTTGGAACAATTCACACAAAAGCCATAAGCAGAAAATAAATGTAAAGAGAAGGTTTAGATCCTTCCCGGACAGTTCTCTTGTTTTAGCAATGGCGAGGAGACTGGCAAGCGAGAGGGTTCCAATCCTTGATTGGGCGGAGTAACACTTTTGACAAAATTCCTATACTCCATTCACCCCGGTGTAGGCAGCACTGATTGCGCGCCTCGATTAAAGGCAAAACGACGGGCGGATCGTGTTCTGGGAGCTAATACTCTGCTTGACTGAAGCTGGGATCACCATCTGAGGCTGGGATCACCATCTGAGGCTGGGATCACCATCTGAGGCTGGGATCACCATCTGAGGCTGGGATCACCATCTGAGGCTGGGATCACCATCTGAGGCTGGGATCACCATCTGAGGCTGGGATCACCATCTGAGGCTGGGATCACCATCTGAGGCTGGGATCACCATCTGAGGCTGGGATCACCACCTGAGGCTGAGATCACCACCTGCGGCTGGGATCACCACCTGAAGCTGGGATCACCACCTGACACTGGGATCATCATCTGAGGCTGGGATCACCACCTGAGGCTGGGATCACCACCTGAGGCTGGGATCACCACCTGAGGCTGGGATCACCATCTGGGACTGGGATCACCACCTGAGGCTGGGATCACCACCTGAGGCTGAGATCACCACCTGCGGCTGGGATCACCACCTGAGGCTGGGATCACCACCTGAGGCTGGGATCACCACCTGAGGCTGGGATCACCACCTGAGGCTGGGATCACCACCTGAGGCTGGGATCACCACCTGAGGCTGGGATCACCACCTGAGGCTGGGATCACCACCTGAGGCTGGGACCACCACCTGAGGCCGGGATCACCATCTGAGACTGGGATCACCACCTGAGTCTGGGATCACCACCTGAGGCTGGGATCACCACCTGAGGCTGGGATCACCACCTGAGGCTGGGATCACCACCTGAGGCTGGGATCACCACCTGAGGCTGGGATCACCACCTGAGGCTGGGATCACCACCTGAGGCTGAGATCACCACCTGAGGCTGGGATCACCACCTGAGGCTGGGATCACCACCTGAGTCTGGGATCACCACCTGAGGCTGGGATCACCACCTGAGGCTGGGATCACCACCTGAGGCTGGGATCACCACCTGAGGCTGGGATCACCACCTGAGGCTGGGATCACCACCTACCTTCCTACATCTTTCCTCGTCAGTTATAAAATCCTGATAAACCCGGTTATCAGACATTTAAACCAGACAGTTAAAACAAGTTAAAAAAATACCAAAATTAAATAAATTAGAGTGACAAAGTGGCTCGAGTACACTCCACAAAATTATATATAAACTTAAAAAAAAAAACTTAATCCTTTCAAAATTAATGCCTTGGGATTTTTTGGAGTGACGTGGTAACATTTAAATCTAGAGATTATTAAAAGGGGGACATAAATAGATCCGTACGGGCAAGCAATCTTAAATCAAATTTTAAACTGAGATAGAGAGAATCAAACACCGAACCAGAAAGAAGTGTGTGAGTTAGTACTACTGAGCCAGAAAGTGTGTTAGTACTACTGAGTCAGAAAGTGTGTTGGTACTAGTAAGCCAAGGGTGTCTGTTAGTACTTCTGAGCCAGGGGTGTGTCTGTACTACTGAGCCAGGGGTGTGTCTGTCAGTACTACTGAGCCAGGGGTGTGTCTGTTAATACTTCTGAGCCAGGGGTGTGTCTGTCAGTACTACTGAGCCTGAGATGTGTCTGTCAGTACTACTGAGCCAGGGGTGTGTCTGTCAGTACTACTGAGCCAGGGGTGTGTCTGTCAGTACTACTGAACCAGGGGTGTGTCTGTCAGTACTACTGAGCCAGGGGTGTGTCTATTAGTACTACTGAGCCAGGGGTGTGTCTGTTAGTACTACTGAGCCAGGGGTGTGTCTGTCAGTACTACTGAGCCAGGGGTGTGTCTGTTAGTACTACTGAACCAGGGGTGTGTCTGTCAGTACTACTGAGCCAGGGATGTGTCTGTTAGTACTTCTGAGCCAGGGGTGTGTCTGTCAGCACTATTGAGCCAGGGATGTGTCTGTTAGTACTTCTGAGCCAGGGGTGTGTCTGTCAGTACTACTGAGCCAGGGGTGTGTCTGTTAGTACTACTGAGCTAGGGGTGTGTCTATTAGTACTACTGAGCCAGGGGTGTGTGTGCCAGTACTACTGAGCCATGGATGTGTCTGTCAGTACTACTGAGCCAGGGGTGTGTCTGTCAGTACTACTGAGCCAGGGGTATGTCTGTTAGCACTACTGAGCCAGGGGTGTGTCTGTTAGCACTACTGAGCCAGGGCTGTGTCTGTTAGTACTACTGAGCCAGGGGTGTGTCTGTTAGTACTACTGAGCCAGGGGTGTGTCTGTCAGTACTACTGAGCCATGGATGTGTCTGTCAGTACTACTGAGCCAGGGGTGTGTCTGTCAGTACTACTGAGCCAGGGGTGTGTCTGTTAGCACTACTGAGCCAGGGGTGTGTCTGTCAGTGCTACTGAGCCAGGGGTGTGTTTATCAGTACTACTGAGTTAGGGGTGTGTCTGTTAGTACTACTGAGCCAGGGGTGTGTCTGTCAGTGCTACTGAGCCAGGGGTGTGTCTGTCAGTGCTACTGAGCCAGGGGTGTGTCTGTCAGTGCTACTGAGCCATGGATGTGTCTGTCAGTGCTACTGAGCCAGGGGTGTGTCTGTCAGTGCTACTGAGCCAGGGGTGTGTCTGTCAGTGCTACTGAGCCAGGGGTGTGCCTGAGTGACGAATTACCTTGACAGAGTTGCTGCCACATCTCAACAATTGCGACTCAAGGCTCGTTGATTGTCTAGTGTTGTAATGACCGTCAATAACTATCTTTGGTATATACACCTCGTTAACGATTAATTTATTTTGAGCGATCAATGTTCCTCGTGGTGACGTTCTTAAATGTTTTAGTATAAATGTTCCTAGATATAATATGTTTATTCTAATATTAGCCTAATATAGCTTGTTAAATAGTTTTTCCAGCATATTTTCACCTCTGTTTCATACAGGTATCAGACACCTCCATATTTCATACAGGCATCAGAGACATCCATATTTCATACAGGTATCAAACATCTCCCTGTTTCATACAGGTATCAGACACCTCCATGTTCCATACAGGTATCAGACACCTCCCTGTTTCATACAGGTATCAGATACCTCCCTGTTTCATACAGGTATCAGATACCTCTCTGTTTCATACAGGTATCAGACACCTCCCTGTTTCATACAGGTATCAGACACCTCCATTTTTCATACAGGTATCATACACCTCCATGTTTCATACAGGTATCAGACACACTCCACTACTCCCAGTCCGGTCTGCTTTAAAGTTTACTCTTCTCTTTACGTGTAATGAACCCTCTCTGCCGCTCCGGTTCACTACCTCACAATCTCTGCACATCATGCTTTCATATTGCACACAACATCGGGTTTGGACCGGCACTGTAATGTTGATCATTCCTGCTTCTAAGCCAACCATCAGTGCTAGTTTTATATTCACATGCTCATCATTAAGAAATCTACTAATTATTTTCTTTACTGTTTCTTCTCTCTCGTATTGTTAGCGTATTCCTTTCTACTAACACACACACACACACACACACACACACACACACACAAACACACACACACACACACACACAGAATGTGTGTCCCATCGCTTCCTTGATTCAGTATTACTGATTTATATATATATAAAGATCATTGTATTGCTTTTGT